TATATATATATATATATATATATATATATATATATATATATATATATATATATATATATATATATATATATATATATATATATATATATATATATATATATATATAGGTTATTAGTATTTTAATAAACCATATTTTTTTAAATAGTTAGTTGCTTTATGTGACTTGTAAAGAAAAGTGTCCTTCAAAATAATTTCCTGTAAAACACCTAGTGTTTGCGCATAACTTGATGGATATGTCAGGTCCATAAGATAGTAAATGGCAATGATGCAACAAAACACTTCACTGGCTGATGAAATCTGTGCTTTCTTTAGCTCACTTCCATTTCTGCTACAAATCATATAATAGGTTTTGTTGAATACTTATTGTGGACCGGGTATTGATACTCCTAGCATTTTATCTAGATTATCAGACTGTTAAACAATTTTTTAGTCAAAAGTTTATATTACAGAGTAACCTATATAAAACAAAAATAATGTTACTATTTACCTGAGTTACATGGAAAGCATTGGAAGAAGACTTTTTACAGGAGACATCACCTTGGAATTTTACTAAATTCAAAAAAACCGACCCATCAGAAAAAAACTATATCGCAAAAATTTAGAATTACTTTTAAAATCTTTAAACATGGGGTAAAGTCTGCAAAACTCGCTTATAAAAAGAGTTGGAGATAATTGTAGTTGAATCGGGATGCTTTTAAATATCTGGGGCAAACAAATTCCGATTTAAAATTGCCAAAACTTGAGTCAAAGGCTTATTCTCCAGCAGCTCAATCTGTTAAAGAATAAGTATTATGAATACAAGTGTAAATATTAGAATAGTAAAAAATTGTACAAAACTTACATTAAATTTATTTTTATCAAATTTACATTAAATTTACAAAAAATACTTTATATAAATACAACACCAATGATTAGATTTATTGATAAATTTATTTTACAATATAAAATTTAATTTGTACAATTAAAAGCCATTTATATACAAACCTCAACTTCGTGAAGTAACTGTTCTTTACTTAAAACAGGTTCAGCTGAATTTTCTAACGCCATCAAAGAAGATGATTTTTGGATTTAGAAAATTTTTTTTCAGAAAGTTTTTGCAAAATTTGTTGCAACATTATCTGCAAAATAAAATTTGTTGCAAACAAAATATTGAAAACATAAACTGTATTATATTATATTCATGAATTTAAAATAGACGCACCCAGTCCTCCATACATAATGGAAATCAACTTATCATTGAAGACTTCAGACGTGCAAAAAACTCTCTTCTTACCCATTTATCATTGCTTTGAGGCAGAAAATCCCTGCAATAATTAATTAAGGAGGTTTTTAATTGTTTTTTGATATTGTTGATAGAAATACTTTTTCCATTCAAATATTTAATCACTGAAAAATCAAAATATTCTTTAATGCTACGAATACCAGCTTCAGGAAATGGTACTTTTAAGATCTAAAGAATACAAAATATATACAATTACAAAATGTTTTCTAAATAATAAAGATATCCCTGAACAAATATTATTGCTATTAACTCAAAAAGCACATTTTTAATAATTATGGGGCAAAATTAATTCTTGGAGAATTATTATTACTGAAATCATAATAATACAATTAATTGCTTATCACTAATAACTATTTTACGTAAATTTATAAAAGACAGTTCCAGAAAAAAATAATGTTTGTATTACAAAAAATTTAAATTGGGTATTGCTGTTGGAAACAAAAGTATTTTATTTGTGTCATCAAAGCATAATTGAAGAACACACCGAGGAAATAGAAGACTGTATGGTTCTATATATTTGATACCAGACAAAATTTCAGCTGTGATGTAAGCAGAATAACTTTTAATAATTAACTTCTGCGCTTTGGAAATACGTTTTTCATTTTCTGTTAAAATCTCAAGAATTTTATAGAATTCTAATTTATTTTCATTTTTGTCAGAAACAATGTAACCTTGCTTATAAAATATTCCATTAATGACTGCATTTAAATTAAAACCGTCCTTAAACTTTAACAACCTCTCCATAAACATTACATCGTCTTTCACCAATAGAATTAAAAAACAATCCAGTTGTATTTAAAATCATTGCTTTGCAAGCTGAATATGCAACGTTTTTAAAATTAAAATGTCTGAAATTTTTTATTACTTGATGTTTACGTTCAAATGCAAGACAGAGATGTCCGTGTAATGAGCCAAATTGAGATGCTTGTGATGGATAGTGCACAAGAAAATATAGTTTTGGATAAAGCTGTTTGAATATAATTGAAGGAAACTGCAATGATGTGCTTGAATACAAACCTTTAGGTCCTTAATATGAATATCAGTTACTGACGGAGACATACATAGCTGCACTATTTGTATAAGTTTAACTAAGCATGAAAGGTGAGGATCAAATAAATCCATAAATCTTAAAAAATTAAAAACACTGCTCATGAGAGAGAGAGTTAATATTTGTCCACTACCAAATTGTATTTGGATTTTAAGTGAAGGTAAAATAATACCAGGCTTTTCAATACCAGAAAGATATATATATATGATTGAAGCCATTGGTTAAGATCAGCTAAGGGAAACTTTTCTGGTATACAGTAAGTACTAAATGTAATGGCAAATCCCTTCCCAATAAATCATGCATTGGATCAAAAAGTAACTGCTTGGTGACATCAAAATTTGGAATATCTGATGAAATACTAAAGTTAACAATACTATAATTTCTTGACCATTTTGTTCTATCAGTTTTACTTAAGTCAGAATTCAACTCATTTAAATGAATGACATGTTCAGGCAAATTTTGAATCAGACACTCTTCATGTGTTGTAAACTCAATCATTTCAGTCCGCGTAGAATTACAGCGCCTACAGCAGCGAACAGTTTTTTGACTAAATCATACTTTAAATTCTCTGATTGAATTAGCTGCTAAAGAATCCTCAGAAAAGTATAAAATCTCAGCTGTAACTGTCCTTAACTTTCCAGCAATACTTATTTTTACGCCTGTATATAATAATTGTATTGTTTTTTTAAAATCTTTAAGTAAAGAAGAAAAAAAATTAAAATTTTCAGGAAGCTTACTAAATATAAAAACCATTTGGAAAATAGATAATGTTCTACCTCTATACTTTTTAGGAATGTTAAGTATTTGAAAGTACATAACCCAAAGTTTGTGTTTTGAATGAGCTTTACCAATTGGATTTGTAATATCAATATCATCTGCATAAATAGCTAATTGAATATGATGTGTATTTGATACCTTCATAAACTCTTTAACCCAGGTGATTGTAATAAAAATTCTTTTATTACAATCACCGCAATATTCACAAGAATATTGCGATGATAGTTTTTTACAGGAATTATTTAGTTTTTTAACATCATAAATTGGGTCAGTAAATAGCTCTTTTAAAGTTAAAAATGTAACATCTAAAACAATCTGAGAACATCTGTACTTAGACTGGAAATGTAAAGCTATTATACCAAGATAATCATTATTTAAATCATCAACATTATCATACAATACTTGATAAACTATTATATTAGGTTCAGTATTGTCATTAAAATTTTTTCTTTAGTACAATTAGCAATGTGCTTTTGATAACCATGTAAACTTTTAAACTCGGAAAAACAATTGATATGCTGCGCCACAAATACTATGTAATTTTAAATGATTTCTCATTGAAGTGTAAGTATCTGAAATAAAAGGACAATTAGCACCAGGGTTGGCAAAAACCCGGGTTTTTTTAAAAAAACCCAGTCCAGTGGGTTTTTTTGGGTTTTATTGGGTTTTTTTGGGTTTAATTTTTATTTTGTCCCTGTAAAGTTTTGTATTTTTGTTTAATGATATTGAAAATTAGTTTCATTTTCTACTTTAACTTTATTTAAAATATATTTTATATATTGTTGTTTAATTATTTATAACAAGAATTTTTCAAATTATTTTGAAAAAGATTTTTAAATATAATTAAAAACTCTGATAGAAAAAAAAATTTCACGCTTAATATATATGTATTGATTTATTTTAAATTTAAAATTTATTATTCTATATAATTAAAAATGTCAATGAGAAAATGGGAAAAAGAAGGCTAGATAATGGGAGGTAGTAACTGAAGTTTCAATTAAACTTTGAACTTGAAATTCAAATGAACAAACTTGTTCCTCTGCGCAGCGGCCTTGTTTATAAAGATTCGTGTTTAGGAGTTAAAGAGTTAAAGCCACTACTGGTGAGGAGGCTATTTATTTGTGGTTATAACCCTCTCTTAACTCTATAACTCCGAAACACGAACCTTGACGAACAAGGCCGCTGCGCGGAGAAAGGAGTTAAGCGTGGTACTGCCAGGGACATAGTGGGGATCAAACTCGGAACCTCGCACTTATGAAGCGGTGAAGCGAGCACTCTACCACAACACCACTACCGCGTAAGAGTTGAGAGAGGATTGTAACCACAACAAGGTAGCCTCCTCGACTGTTGTGTTGGCTTCAAGTCACTACTACTCATTTAAATTCAACTTGGGAGGTGAATAACATAAAGTAATAAAAATCTCAATCAATAAAAATATTTGAATAAAAAATGGAATAATGTATTTCCAAATAATGATTAAAATAATAGTAAACCTGCTCTGATAGCTGTTATTGTTGGTTATAGTAGTTAATAATAATAGTTAATAATAATTTAGTTAATAATAATAATAGTTAATAATAATTTAGTTAATAATAATAGTTAATAATTATTTTAGTTAATAATATTATAGTTATAATGTTAAAGTTGGTTATAATAGTTCATAAACTTAATAAATATCTTTAAAAAAACCCAATAAAACCCAGATTTTCCAGGGTTTTATTGAGTTTTTTTAGGCGGGTTTTTTTGGGTTTTATTGGGCGGGTTTTTTTGGGTGGGTTTTTTAATGCCAACCCTGATTAGCACAATAAAACCTTTCTTTTGATTATTTGAGGTCTATTGCAGTTGGATGAGCCTGCAACTAACTCTGTACCACTCTCAGTTTCTATAGATATATTTTGATTGCTCACTTATTGCTACAGGAAAAGTTGAAGTGTTTACTGCACAACCAAGCCATTTTAAATTTAAATAGTTTTGAACATTAAAAGTATAACATACTAAAAAAAACAATATTTCTAAATATTTTTATTTTGATTGCTCACATATTACTACAGGAAAAGTTGAAGTGTTTACTGCACAACCAAGCCATTTTAAATTTGAATAGTTTTGAACCTTAAAAGTATAACATACTAAAAAAAACAATATTTCTAAATATTTTTATTATATATACATATATACATACATACAACTACATATACATACATATACATACACACACAGATGTGTGTGTATGTATGTATATACTCTGTATATAGTTGTATTATTAATTATTATTTTCTTCATTTATAAACTAAATCAACTATACTTACTGTTTGCCATAAATGCATTTAGATCATTGAATGTGGCAACAACTATTTTTGACTCCCCAAGTAACTTTTACAGCTTTCATAGTAAATCTACTCTTTGTCATATATATATGTATATATGTATATATATATATATATATATATATATATATATATATATATATATATACACACTCATATGCATAATATATATATATATATATATATATATATATATATATATATATATATATATATATATATATATATATATATATATATATATATATATATATATATATATATATATATATATATATATATATATATATATATATATATATATATATATATATATATATATATATATATATATATATATATATATATATATATATATAGACACACTCCTATACATTAATTGTACATTTCTAGTTTTAATTTTTTTTTTTTTTTTTTTTGCCAGAAATATGTCATTCATGCATTTTGATGGTAAATAAAATTAAATAATCTTGAAACGTCATTTAGTTAAAATAGTTAAAATGGCCTCATTTCAAGATTAAATTAAATAATTTATTCCTGAAAATATAACATCATTTAAACATGTTAAGTATAATGTTAAATATAACATCAAAATACAAATATAACGTTATTTTAATAATATAACATTATAAATCTAAATATAACGTTTTATATAACGTTACTATTTAAACTTTAGAATTAAATGATGTTATAATTATTTTTTTTTTGTGCATATGTATATATTTTGTGTATGTGTATATATTTTTTTTGTGTATATGTATATATTTTTTTTGTGTATATGTATATATTTTTTTTGTGTATATGTATATATTTTGCCGTTTAAATAATGCTACAATGCCAAAATGTATAAATAAATACTTACATGGCCGGGGCCTAAAGAAGACATATATCTTTATTTATATCTGACGGTAGATAAACTTTGTTAACATCAGTCAATTGCTTGCATAAAATATAGAAAAATCAATAGAAAAGAGTGGATCTGTAAAAACGATTTAAAAGCTTTTAATTTATTAAAGAAGAAAAAAAAAAAAGTCTTATCACTAAGCCCTGTGATAATAATGATCTTATTTTTTTTAGTGTGTAGACTTGAGATCCAAATAAAATGTTGAATACAAATAAATTGTTAATAGTTTATTTAAGTTATATTAGTTTGTGTAGTTTTATGTTTTAAGTTTAGTTTGTGTCTTTGATGAGACTGTCTAAGAAATTTGATGATTTAAACTGTCCGTTTCTTTGTTTTTAATAATAATATTATTTGACTTCTTTTTTGCACTTTTTTGATGTTGTAATTTTCTCTTGAATTTTTATTTAGCCTTGTGAAGAAATTTTAAATCATATTAATTCATCGATACCAATACATTCAATTTCTTATAATTGTGATGATGAACAAGCAAATGGTTTTCTTTATGAGTTATCAAGAAAAACCTCAGGAAGGTATTACAATTTTTTTAAAAACTTTATGAGCTATCAAAAAATACCTCAGGAAGGTATTACAATTTTTTTTTAAACTTTTAGATCAATTAAACTGTTTATGTTTCAAATTTAGTCAATAAAATTGTTGCATAAAAATATTCTTACTTAAAAAATTGGTCAATCAACATTTGATTCACAACCTCAAAGCCCTCTTATTCTTAGGTCACAAAATTTTGTATTTTATCTCAAAAATTAGGCTCCAGAGACTAGAGAATCTTGAACAGTGTTTATAGTAAGAGCAAATCTGTTATTCCTTCTCTCTTGTATAGTTCAGATTTTGTTACCTCACTTAAAGACAAAGCTGAATTCTTTGCTAAGAACTTTTCATCGATCTCGTCTCTTAATTCCAGTAATCACATTCTACCTGATATAACTTACTTTCTGAGCATCAATATGGATTTTGATCTACTCATTCTACTGCTGGTTTGTTAACAGTATTAATTGATAGGTTTTATGGTGCATAAGATAGATGTGAAGAGGTTAAAGCTATCGCACTTGACATTTCTAAAGCCTTTGATAAGGTTTGGCATGCTGGTCTTCTCCATAAGCTCTCTTCTTAAGGTGTATAAGGTAACATCTTTAAGACTATTGAATCCTTTCATACCAATTGTAGCATAAAAATTTTATTCAGTAGGTAGCACTTTTTTTCATTTCCAACATTCTCTGATTGCTTGGAGAGATCATTTGAGCTTGAAAAAGATCTCACTTCTGCTAAAGCATAGGGCTCTCAGTGGCTGGTGAACTCAGATAAAACTTTTTTTTCAGCTAATCATTATCACAACAATTTAGATCTTCCTTTATTTATGATCAGCAATGTAGTTGATGAATCATCTACCCTTCATCTTCTAGGATTAACTCTATTCTGATCTTTCTTGGAAACCATATAACAAATTGATTTCAAAATTACAATCTCTTTATCATGCTTGCCACTTTCTTATTTCAGATTCTATCTTTTATCTCTATAAATTTCAAATCTGTCCTTGTATGGAATATTGTTGCCATATCTGGAGCAGATCTTCAAATGATGTCCTTTTCTCTTTTAGACAAGGTGCAAAAACGCATTGTAATCATAGTTGGAACTGCTCATGCAGCCAACCTTCAACCATTTTTACATCGTTGTAATGTTGTATTTCTTTCTCTATTCTATAAATACTATAATGGGCTTTGCTCTAAAGAGTTAGCATCTCTTGTACTAAATTACCACTAAAATTCTTTTACATTTTTCTGATCATTCAATTAAGTATCATCCTTTTTACTGTGACTGTTCCTAAGTGCTCCAAAAGTTCATATTTGTCTAGTTTTTTCCTCGAGCCTCATTCTTTGGAATTTGCTTCCATTATCTTGCTTTCCTGATTCTTATGATTTGTAATCTTTTAAGTCATCTGTTAATTGTTATCTTGCTTTATAAACTTCATCTTTTCTCTTCCAGTCTACTTCCAACTCTAGTAGTGGTTGCATGCAGCCATGTTTAAGGTGAAGATATTTAAAAAAAAAGGAACTTTTTTATTACTACATCAATAATTTTTCATGTAAAAAGTAGGGTTATGATTTTTTTTTATCAAAGTTTTTGGAGTTTTTGTGATTGTGTTTTTTGTGTTATGGAGTTTTTGTGATTGAAACTTTTATCAAAGTTATGGAGTTTTTGTGATTGAAACTTTTATCAAAGTTATGGAGTTTTTGTGATTGAAACTTTGAAATAGTTTCTCTAAAAACATTTAAGACAATTATCTCATCAGTTGTGTTTTAAACTAGTATTTAAAATAATATACTACTGTAAATTTTTTATACATATTTATGTATTAACAAAAATTCTAAACAAACTTTTTTATATAAGAGACTAGACTAAACACATTTTGTATTGCCCAGTCACATTTTGTATTGTTCAGAACACATTTTGTATTGCTCAGTCACATTTTGTATTGCTCAGTCACATTTTGTATTGCTCAGAACACATTTTCTATTGCTCAGAACACATTTTGTATTGCCCAGTCACATTTTGTATTGTTCAGAACACATTTTGTATTGCTCAGTCACATTTTGTATTGCTCAGTCACATTTTGTATTGCTCAGAACACATTTTCTATTGCTCAGAACACATTTTGTATTGCTCAGTCACATTTTGTATTGCCCAGTCACATTTTGTATTGCTCAGAACACATTTTGTATTGCTCAGTCACATTTTGTATTGCTCAGTCACATTTTGTATTGCTCAGTCACATTTTGTATTGCTCAGAACATATTTTGTATTGCTCAGTCACATTTTGTATTGCTCAGAACACATTTTGTATTGCTCAGTCACATTTTGTATTGCTCAGTCACATTTTGTATTGCTCAGTCACATTTTGTATTGCTCAGAACACATTTTCTATTGCTCAGAACACATTTTGTATTGCTCAGTCACATTTTGTATTGCCCAGTCACATTTTGTATTGCTCAGAACACATTTTGTATTGCTCAGTCACATTTTGTATTGCTCAGTCACATTTTGTATTGCTCAGTCACATTTTGTATTGCTCAGAACATATTTTGTATTGCTCAGTCACATTTTGTATTGCTCAGTCACATTTTGTATTGCTCAGAACATATTTTGTATTGCTCAGTCACATTTTGTATTGCTCAGTCACATTTTGTATTGCTCAGAACATATTTTGTATTGCTCAGTCACATTTTGTATTGCTCAGAACACATTTTGTATTGCTCAGTCACATTTTGTATTGCTCAGTCACATTTTGTATTGCTCAGAACACATTTTGTATTGCTCAGTCACATTTTGTATTGCTCAGTCACATTTTGTATTGCTCAGTCACATTTTGTATTGCTCAGAACACATTTTGTATTGCTCAGTCACATTTTGTATTGCTCAGTCACATTTTGTATTGCTCAGAACACATTTTGTATTGCTCAGTCACATTTTGTATTGCTCAGTCACATTTTGTATTGCTCAGTCACATTTTGTATTGCTCAGAACATATTTTGTATTGCTCAGTCACATTTTGTATTGCTCAGTCACATTTTGTATTGCTCAGAACACATTTTGTATTGCTCAGTCACATTTTGTATTGCTCAGTCACATTTTGTATTGCTCAGTCACATTTTGTATTGCTCAGAACATATTTTGTATTGCTCAGTCACATTTTGTATTGCTCAGAGCACATTTTGTATTGCTCGGAACACATTTTGTATTGCTCAGTCACATTTTGTATTGCTCAGTCACATTTTGTATTGCTCAGTCACATTTTGTATTGCTCAGTCACATTTTGTATTGCTCAGAACATATTTTGTATTGCTCAGTCACATTTTGTATTGCTCAGTCACATTTTGTATTGCTCAGTCACATTTTGTATTGCTCAGAACACATTTTGTATTTCTCAGAACACTTTTTGTATTGCTCAGTCACATTTTGTATTGCTCAGTCACATTTTGTATTGCTCAGTCACATTTTGTATTGCTCAGTCACATTTTGTATTGCTCAGTCACATTTTGTATTGCTCAGAACACATTTTGTATTGCTCAGTCACATTTTGTATTGCTCAGTCACATTTTGTATTGCTCAGTCACATTTTGTATTGCTCAGAACACATTTTGTATTGCTCAGTCACATTTTGTATTGCTCAGTCACATTTTGTATTGCTCAGTCACATTTTGTATTGCTCAGTCACATTTTGTATTGCTCAGAACACATTTTGTATTGCTCAGAACACATTTTGTATTTCTCAGAACACTTTTTGTATTGCTCAGTCACATTTTGTATTGCTCAGTCACATTTTGTATTGCTCAGAACACATTTTGTATTGCTCAGTCACATTTTGTATTGCTCAGTCACATTTTGTATTGCTCAGAACACATTTTGTATTGCTCAGTCACATTTTGTATTGCTCAGTCACATTTTGTATTGCTCAGTCACATTTTGTATTTCTCAGAACATATTTTGTATTGCTCAGAACACATTTTGTATTGCTCAGAACACATTTTGTATTGCTCAGTCACATTTTGTATTGCTCAGTCACATTTTGTATTGCTCAGAACACATTTTGTATTGCTCAGTCACATTTTGTATTGCTCAGTCACATTTTGTATTGCTCAGTCACATTTTGTATTTCTCAGAACATATTTTGTATTGCTCAGAACACATTTTGTATTGCTCAGAACACATTTTGTATTGCTCAGTCACATTTTGTATTGCTCAGTCACATTTTGTATTGCTCAGAACACATTTTGTATTGCTCAGTCACATTTTGTATTGCTCAGTCACATTTTGTATTGCTCAGTCACATTTTGTATTTCTCAGAACATATTTTGTATTGCTCAGAACACATTTTGTATTGCTCAGTCACATTTTGTATTGCTCAGTCACATTTTGTATTGCTCGGAACACATTTTGTATTGCTCAGTCACATTTTGTATTGCTCAGTCACATTTTGTATTGCTCAGTCACATTTTGTATTGCTCAGTCACATTTTGTATTGCTCAGTCACATTTTGTATTGCTCAGAACACATTTTGTATTGCTCAGTCACATTTTGTATTGCTCAGTCACATTTTGTATTGCTCAGTCACATTTTGTATTGCTCAGTCACATTTTGTATTGCTCAGACACATTTTGTATTGCTCAGTCACATTTTGTATTGCTCAGTCACATTTTGTATTGCTCAGTCACCTTTTGTATTGCTCAGTCACATTTTGTATTGCTCAGAACACATTTTGTATTGCTCAGTCACATTTTGTATTGCTCAGTCACATTTTGTATTGCTCAGTCACATTTTGTATTGCTCAGAACACATTTTCTATTGCTCAGAACACATTTTGTATTGCTCAGTCACATTTTGTATTGCTCAGTCACATTTTGTATTGCTCAGAACACATTTTGTATTGCTCAGTCACATTTTGTATTGCTCAGTCACATTTTGTATTGCTCAGTCACATTTTGTATTGCTCAGAACATATTTTGTATTGCTCAGTCACATTTTGTATTGCTCAGAACACATTTTGTATTGCTCAGTCACATTTTGTATTGCTCAGTCACATTTTGTATTGCTCAGTCACATTTTGTATTTCTCAGAACACTTTTTGTATTGCTCAGAACACATTTTGTATTGCTCGGAACACATTTTGTATTGCTCAGTCACATTTTGTATTGCTCAGTCACATTTTGTATTGCTCAGTCACATTTTGTATTGCTCAGTCACATTTTGTATTGCTCAGTCACATTTTGTATTGCTCAGTCACATTTTGTATTGCTCAGAACACATTTTCTATTGCTCAGAACACATTTTGTATTGCTCAGTCACATTTTGTATTGCTCAGTCACATTTTGTATTGCTCAGAACACATTTTGTATTGCTCAGTCACATTTTGTATTGCTCAGTCACATTTTGTATTGCTCAGTCACATTTTGTATTGCTCAGAACACATTTTGTATTGCTCAGTCACATTTTGTATTGCTCAGTCACATTTTGTATTGCTCAGTCACATTTTGTATTGCTCAGAACACATTTTGTATTGCTCAGAACACATTTTGTATTTCTCAGAACACTTTTTGTATTGCTCAGTCACATTTTGTATTGCTCAGTCACATTTTGTATTGCTCAGTCACATTTTGTATTGCTCAGAACATATTTTGTATTGCTCAGAACACTTTTTGTATTGCTCAGAACACTTTTTGTATTGCTCGGAACACATTTTGTATTGCTTAGAACACATTTTTGTATTGTTCAGAACACATTTTGCTACACTTTTTCATTAAACTTTATTGCAATATTAATATTGTTTTGAAAAAAAAATTTTTGTGTTTAAACAAACTAAACAATTTTGTGTGTGCATTTTTTTTTAATTTTTTAAAAAAAAAAGCACACACAAATGATGAATTTAAAAAATGATGAATTTAAAAAAAATTGTTTTAAATAATTTTGTATTCATAATTTCTTACATATCTAGATGCTACAATCTAATTTGCTAGTTGATGTATGCTTGCTTACAGTTGATGTATACTTACTTATAGTTGATGTATACTTACTTACATTGTTACCATATAAAATACTTTTAACTGTTATTAGTGCTCAGGAAAGTTTTATAGAACTTTTTTTTATGATGTCAATAATATTTGATCATTGTTGATACTAATAGTAAACACTGATATTACAGCATACACTACCAATCATATACTACTACAGCCCACACTACCAACCACGCATTCTACAATCTACACCACCAACCACACACTACTACAGCCTGCACTACCAACTGCACATTATTACATCCCACAATATCAATTAGACACTGCTACAATTCACACTACTAGTATTATTACTGCCCATGTTACTTGTATTTACCACTCTAAATTAATTAGTCTACAGAAATGTGATAGCCTCTTTATGTGCTACCCACTCTAAATATAAGTAACACTTTTCTACTAATTTTTGCTAAAAATAATATTTTTTAAATATCATATATAGATATCATTGTTTCTTTGAAAATGAGTTTTCTATTGGTGAGAAATTTCAGGTAATTTTTTTGTAAATAAATCTTTATTCATTTAATGTTTTTTTTTCTTAACCATGGAAAAACATTAATTACTAGTTTAAGTTTTTTAATAAATTTTTGTAGAAATTTATTAATTTTCTTCACTATAATATAAATTTACATTCAAAAATTAAATTTAACTATTAAAATGAAAAGGAATAATACCTAACGAACGGTTGTATTTCCTTTAAATTCAAATATTTAATTTTTTTTTTTTTTTTTTTTACTTTTATATTAAATATAAAAAGTACTATATTATATATAAAAATTTAATTTGTTTATTTTCGAAAAAATATATATATATATAAATGAATGCTAAAAAAAATATTATGCATTAAAAAATATTTTTTCCTGTATATTTTTAAAATGTATACATGCAAAGTTAAAATATTTATTTGGAAAGGATTTTTAAATTATACTAATGAATATAATTTGCTTTCTACAGATCAAAACTACATTTATCTCAGTTTGTAATGTACTGTTTATTGAAAACTTTATGGTAATTGATGCCTTTTAATTTATCAGGGTTCGCACAATAATTTATATAGGTTTTATTATGATCTTACTGTTTTACCCCAAAGATTCCATTCAGTGGTGCTATATTAAGTTACTATAACTTTGTTTTGTAAATATATCAATGTACATTATTATGCACATAGGTCGGTTAATGTTAGTTGCAAATTGTGGTTTGCAATAGTTGCAAAGGATTTTTCTTTAAAAAAGATTTTATTTCAGATCCAAAAAACCTTGGTATATGGTAACCTTGGTAACCTTGGATTATTGCTTTGTAATTAAAGGTTTTAAAGAACTCAGAATATCTAGAAATCACAAACAGTTTGTGGTTTCTGAATATCAAGATCTTCATAAATACAAAAAATTACAAAAAATTAATAATAATTTTCTATTCTATAGAGAAGAGTATAGCAGTTCTGATGATTGGTTTAAGTTAGAAAAAGATTTCCCCAAATAGTTAACTTTTAAAATACTTCACTTCTTTTGAAACCCAACATGATATGCTTTAAAGAACTTTTTTTTTCAAAATATTAGGGATTGATGTTTAAGGGTCTTGAGCAACTCCTAAAAAAATTTTTCATTTATAATTTTTTTAAATTTAGTATTAATTTATTACATAGAACACATTTAGGGGGTACCATCAGACATTTTCAAAAATATGTTGTTTTTAGAACCACCCTAGTGTGTATATGTGTAACATGTATCAAACCCTTAGAATTGAGGTCAGCAATAAATTACCAAATTCAAACTAAACAAAAAGACACAAAGGGGTTACCATAAAACATAGAAACAAGATCAGCAATTTTTTTGTTTAATGCGAATACTTAATCAAGTAATGGTTATCTAATTTTGTAAAATAGTTGTATTTTTATAAAATTATTTCACCATGTCAACACTATTATAAAATATTTTGTATTTTTATAAAATTATTTATTATCACCATGTCAACACTTTTTAATATTCTTACTCATTTTTATTTAGTAACTCTTAATATATTTACATAAACAAAGTTCTATTTAAGTTTGTTTACATAAATCAATAATAACATTGTTTTATTTTTATGATTAATTTTTTTATATTATTCATAGAGCGAAGATTTGCATCTGATAAAAAAAGAAATAAAAAAAGCCCAACATGAACTTGAAAAATCAAATTTATTGCAAAAAGCAGTTCAACAAAAAAATGCTGCTAGGTAATTGTCTTTAATTTTTTCTTATGATAATCATACCTATAATATAGTTAAAAAAATTACAACAGTAAAAAAAGTTCTTAGAATGATTTGATCAAAAAACTCTTTTCAAACTTCTTTTAAGCTAGTAATTTTTTTTAGAAAATTCTGTCTGGATCCTAACAAATTGAAAAATAGACCTGTATCTGCGTATGTTGACAATAAATCATCTTTACTGAGAACGAAAGTAATGAATGAAAATGAAGACAAACAAGAAAATAAGCACAACAGTCTAAAAGCAAAAAAGAAAAAGTAAAGATTCATTTTTGTTAAAAAAATTTTGTTTAAAAAAATACTTCTTTGATATTATGCATTTATTTTATAGAAGAAAAATTTCATTGTTTATTTTAGGCTAGAACATGAAAGTGAAAATGTGAATAATATTAAGAAGTAAGATTAATAAAAATATTTTTTACCCAGAGCTTTTACTAGACTTGACATTAAACTAACTTTCACTCCTGAAATATTTGTTTTTACTGCTTTTCAGAGAGTTGTAAAATTATATGATTTTGACTTATCATGATGTTCTTATAAAATTTTAATAATACTCTGTGTATTAAGTTGCTCATATGAAATTATAAACAGCTGAATATATACACTTTATGAAATTATAAACAGGTGAATATATACACTTTATGAAATTATAAACAGGTGAATATATACATTTTATGGCCTACTATTGTGACACGTGGAGTAAATGTTGGGTTTAAAAAAAACTTTTTCTTTCTCAATAATATAAAATATCTATGAAAACTTTTTACCTATTTAATCTGCTAATGTATTGGACAACTTGGGTGTTCCAAAGTTTATTTTAAAAATAAAAAATGGTTTATTCTTTTATAGCTATCACTGTGGTGTTCAGTGCACCATAAAACCTTTTTTTTTACAATCATATGAGTATTATTGATTGTATTAGTCATCTCCTTGCTGCAATCCACTATCTGAATTCTTTATCAGTTGATTACAAGAAAAGTATTACTATTGAACAGATGTTAGCTTCTTAATGTTTATTGGTGGAAAAAAGTATTCTCCTGATATGGTTGCCAAGGCATTTGAGTTGTTTTCAAGGACTCTTTACTCTTGATTACGTTATGTTTTACAAAGGTATTTCAAGAACTGCAAAATGGTCAAATCCTAAAAAACTTTTTCAATTTGTAAAAGATGCTATTGTAAAATTATCTAAACTTAATGAAACTGTTTCTAAAACCAATGAAAAATTCTAAACTAATTGAACATCAAATGCGTCAACTTGTTTAAGAGTATTCTGTGATGAGGCTGTAGCTGCTTTAAAAACTTAACCATCTATAAAAAATGATGACAACATCACAGTTGTTTTTTTTTTTATCAAATTTTTTAAACTTGTTAATGTTGAAGGACTTTATGAAAATATTTGTACCGGAAATAAATATCGTGCTTTTTTTCCATCGAAAAATGATAAATGATTGAACTTTCTTTTAAATTTGGCTGATATGGTTGAAAAATGGCTCCTGAAAAACAAAGTCAGACTAAAAAATTTAACTATAAATAATTCTTGTGCTTTTTCTCATACATGGTTGATCTAGTAAAACATTTACTAACTACAAGTCATAAGAATGTTTACCTTCGACATTTTACTAGTGACCCTATTGAGAAAGCATTTGGAAAACTTTGGCAAGAATCAGTTAGTACCTATTTTAAAAATTTTCTGCAAATATTACAAAAGGTTGATATTAAAAAAACAAAACTATGTCTGAATATTGGTATCGCTGCTAATGATTTAGAAATTTTATCAAGCCATTTGTATGACAAATGTAATTATGTAATGCAAGATGATATTTTGATCAATGTGTTTTATAATTTCCAAGTTAATGAAAAGCAATTTGTCTAAAGAAATAAAAATATCTTTAGTTTACATTGCTACCTATGTCAGTAGGGAATATCTTCCAGTTGAAGATACATCATTGTTTCGACCAGTTAGGAGAATATGTCAGAGAGATTAACTGTGGTTGTTTAAGTTTGCCTAATATTTGCCATTGGGTATTTTATAATATATTATAAAATATATTTTTTAACTATTCCCATCTTTATTCCCCGTGATCTTCCAAGGAACACAAAATGAAAATATTAAAATTATCTTAAATGTGGAATATATATTTTTTTAAGTAATTGTTTTATTTTGAAAAGTTATTTTATTATAAAGATTTTAGAGTTTTTTGCACAATAAAAAATGAGTTTTTACTATATTATATCTAATGATATGTGGTTTGCATTTAATAAACAATTTTTTCATTTTGGAGGTTTAATTTATGACTTATATAAAACTCATTAATTTATTAAAGAAAACGAATGTTCCAATAAAGAGAAAACATCTACAGTTTTTTTTAAAAGCCGTATGTTTATTTGGCTTGTCACTTTAGTAGACCATGGTATGTTTTTATAACCTTAACAATTATTGACCAATACAATTTAGTAATTAATGGCCTAATAACCAACACCTTAACAAGCCAATCCTTCATTCTTTTTGTGTTTAAATTTAAATCTAAATAATATTAATAGGATTATGAAACATTTGGGTCATTATATGTAATCATTGTATGCAGTCATAATATCATCGTATGCAGTCATTTTAGCGGTCATTGTAGTATTGTCATTATATGCGATCAATGTAGCTTGTAGGCGCTCATTTCATGCGGTCATTGTTACTTGGACACTATAGCTCTTGAAAAATGAAGCATTTGTTTCAATCACGCTTTTACCTGTCATATGGGTATCAACAATTTAACCTCTGGAAATCTGATAGGTCTGCCATGTCTAATGGTTTTATCTAGTTAAGTATAATTATATCTAAAAATAAATATATTTATTAGAAATAAAGACAACCAGCAGCAGAAATGAATCAAAATAAATCAAAATATAAAAATCTTTAACCCTTTTACTGACAATTGAAAATCAGGTTGCAATGATATTTGGTGCTAATATTAATTTGTCCAAACCCTGTATATATATATAAACAAATATGTAAATAAATATATATATATATATATATATATATATATATATATATATATATATATATATATATATATATATATATATATATATATATATATATATATATACATACATAAATACACACATGCATAAATATATATATATATATATATATATATATATATATATATATATATATATATATATATATATATATATAAATAATTGTGTGTATAACACACATATATGTATATGTAGTGTTGCAAAAAAACGCGTTTTTTTTGCTGTTGCGTTTTTTTCACCCAAAAAGACGTTTTTTTTGGGTTTTTTTGGCGTTTTTTTGGTTTTTTTGGCGTTTTTTTGGTTTGGGTGTAGGTTTTTTTGGATTTTTTTTAAACTCTTATGATATATTTGTTTACTAATTTTGTGTAAACAGAGTGTTTAGCCAAAGTGGTATAAAAATATTTGTCTTTTTGATTAGGAAAATGGCTAAACAGTTATTTTTTTTTTTAAATTTCAAGATTTTTGCCTCTAAAAAATTATTTATTTTCCTTATATTAAACACGAAAATGATTACCTTTTTTTATTTTGCAAAGCAGTGTTTTATATAATAAATATATTTCTTTCATATAATTAAAATATTTATTTAGATAATTCTGATTCATTCCATTAAATAATACATTTATTATTATTCAAAAAAAAATTATGGATTAATGAAAAATTTAATGAACATAAGTTGAAGAAGTTGAAAATAAATTTTGTAATTTTAAAACCAGTGACAGATCCAGGGGAAATGAGAGGTATGAACCTACCACCCCGCACCAGAATCCATAAATTTATAAAATATCTTTAAATTTTTTTAATTTTTTTTTAGTAGGCAAAAATGTGATACAAAATAAACTAAATTTTTAACAAGCCTCGATTCCCCCTCACACCCACACCAAAATTCCCAGATCTGACTTATTTTGCGATGCAGTGTTATTTCATTCATATAATAAATTCTTAAAACAGTTCAATATTAAAAAAGATACAATTCATAGCCTTTACTTATAAAAATTTACTTCTTTGTCTTTACTTATAAGAATTATTATTAAAAATTATTTTAAAAAAAAAATATGGTAAATGGAAGTATTAAAACAAGTATTTAATAAATATCACCAAAAATAAATTTTAAAACCATTTCAGTGTTTAAAATGCAAAAAGAGTAGTTTTTAAGGCAAAAAAAACAAAAAAAACAAAAAACGAAGTCCTTGGTTTTTTTTGCCAAAAAAACAAGAACCAAAAAAACGACTTACATCTCTATGTATATGTATATATATATATATATATATATATATATATATATATATATATATATATATATATATATATATATATATATATTAGGGTGTCCCAAAAAAAAAAAATTTTTTTTTTCCTTTAGTTTTGTGTGTAGTTTTGTCCGTTAAAAGTGAAAATAAGAAGATTTTTGAAAAATTTTGAAGCTTGACCCCCCCGCCCTTCTTTTAAAGTTTTTACCCCCTCTGCCGCCCACTTTTTCAAAATTATTCACTTTTAAACTGATTTTAGGCTAAATATATAAATGTATTAAATATGTTTTGTATCAATATTGATCACTATTATAATTCTAAACTATGTATCATAGCTAATATTAGTAAATATAATTTGTTTCAATTCAACGATTCTCAAAAATTATTAAATATTATTATTCAATGCTTGAGATGAGAAAATTTTTTATGATGAATATTAATGTTACATACATTATTCAAATAATTTTATAATTTATAGCTACTTTTTTATCTATAGATATAATAGCATATATAAAAAATATTTGATCAGTTATGAGAAATAGTAAATTGAGGAAAAA